ACAACAAGAAATAGGGAAGGAGCTCATGCAAGCTAATTAAAGAGACCAACAGCGACTAAGCAGCAGCGAAAAGGCCACTTGCATTTTATCCTCCAGACAGATTTTGGGGCCAATGACATTGGCAGCACCAGAGGTCAGCCGGAACGCGAGATGTTTGGGGGGACACGGTGCAGACAGGCCACATTTGTACTTGCGTGGTCGTGGTTCTGCAGGAGAGCAGGTTATTGCATTGCACGATTAGACTGCTTAAATGTTTCTTGTAAAAATGTATAAATGCATGTTTTAATGTAAAAAGTCATTTTACCTGGAGTGGGCTCTTCTTGTCCACCTATGAACGACAAAACTTTGTGAATGACCATTTATGCAGAGTTCACACTGCACGATTTTCAAAGTCGTCGGGTCACCATGGTTTTCACACTGCACGACTATCTGGTAACAGTCAGTCGCTGCTGTGTTCACACTGCACGATGGATCGGCGACAGGAGGTTACACACTGCATGACTTTACAATAGGGAGAATCACCAACAACTCTGTCTGGAAACTACGTTTCACAACAAAACACACGCGAGAAGTAGGGGTGTGCGATATTGACAAAAAATTATATCTCGATATTTTATGGGATTTTATCGATAACGATAATTAGACAATATTTTGCTGATTTAAAACATGAAAAAAATAAAAGAAAAGTAAGAAAAAGCCGAAATTTGAAATTAAAACCGCCAGCAGGTGGCAGCAAATCACTGCAGTATATAGCCCGCAAATGGTCTGTGAGCTGATTTTCAGCTACAAGGAGAAAAAGTAAAAACAGATTATGCAGGAGGGAGATGCAGGGAACAGGGATTGGGTGTTCTGCATATTTTGCGGGCGATTCCCTCAGATTGCGTCTTTGATAATTCACACTGCGTGATTGTCACTCGCGTGAACAAGCACCGATTTGCCTCCGATTTCGGGCATTTGTCGGCGATTGAAAAATCGGGCTAAAATCGTGCAGTGAACTCAGCATTAGCCACTGAGACTGATTACATAATCTTGTGGTCGACCATGATATTATCACCATGGTTGATATTTGGCATTTTTTTTTCTCTTTGGCTGATATAATTTCTGTCATTTACAATCATTTTTTTTTTCTCTTTGGCTGACATAATTTCTGTCTCACACACACACACACACACACACACACATACATACCATACATACATACATACGTTTGGAATTACCTACCGGTCAAACGTTTGGAATCATCATGATTTTGTAATATTTTGGAAAAAAATGCAAGGCTGCATTTATCAAATCAAAAAGAAAGTAAAACAGTAATTTTGTAAAATATTACAATTTAAAATAACTGTTTTCTGTTTTAATATATTTTAAAAGTTAACTGAAATAAAATAACTTTGTTTCAGCTAGCAGCATTTCTCATATTAATTTAGCTTAGCTTCATGTACCCAAATAACTAAACCTGAAATAATATATACATACACGTGTGTGTGTGTGTGTGTGTGTGTGTGTACAGGTGCATCTCAATAAATTAGAATGTCGTGTTATATTATATATGTGTATAAGGGCTGGGCGATATGGACAAAAAATGATCACAATATTTTTTTTTCATATCAGTCGATATCAATAATTATCACGATAAAGATCAAATTTTAATTTCTTTCAAGTTTAAAGGCAGATTTTTGCTACAATGTGAAAGTTGTAAAAACCAGACGATTAATTGTGGTTTTAAACTATTCTTTATGGTCGGAAACATGAAAACACTTCGTTTTTGAATTCTTTACACTTTTCCAGTCATTTTTCCTTAACAAAATAAGTATCTTAATAGAAAAAAAAAAAATTCTTAGTACTGCATTGTTACATCCCATGTTAATTATGATGTGTTTTGGGTACGGTGTTTGCTTTTCCCTCCCCCTTTTCTCTGTTTTTACTTTCGTTTTCAGCAGGGCGACGTGGGTACCTGAGTGGTCTAATTCTCTGTCAGTCATCAAGATGCTTAGTGACGACAACGCGCGGCTTCACCAACGAGGGTGCGCTATTTGATTATAAAGACTGCACCTGTGCGGGAAGAGGCAGTTCTCTTGCACGCTAGAGCACTCATTCTGTCGACCTGTTGTGATAGCACTTGCGTGCTTGTTTGTTTGTTTGCCCTGTACGATCTTGATGTTTGGATACTGCTCATGGTAAAGTCTGTGTTCTTTGATAACTTAGTGAATAATGGCTCATTCGATCTTTCTTCTCTTTGGGGTTTTCACCACCTGGTTGTCAAACCAATATTACTAAACGGGGAAAGAGAAAAAGAACAGGTAAGATATCACGTGATATACATGTGCCACATTGAGTTTTCAATTGTGTATAGAACACTAGTTTAGTGACACGTGCCACCTTATTGTATGTTTGGTTGGTAGTAAGAGTAGTTTATTTAGGGCGTCTTTGACGCTGAAGATTTTTCTTTCTATTTAATTTAGGGGTTTGTTTTTGAATATTGATGGCTGAGTTAGATTAGAAGTTCTCTGTTTTGTTTTTAGTAAGATTGGTTATGTTTTATTTCTTTTTTTGTTTTGGCACGGTCTCGTTCTTCTCTTTTCCCCGTTCTTTTGTGAACCTTTTTGCTTGGTTATAAAGTGTATATAATTTGTTAATTTATGTAAATAATATTCGGGGTTCATATTTTGTTCCATTTTGTCACTGTAATAAACAAGACACTTTGCTGAATTCAGAACGGGTTGTGTGTGGTTGTTTTCCAGTACATGTTCAGTGTTTTGATGTTGCACCCCTTATTTCCTCTTGACTTAAAGGGGTTTGTAACATGCATGTTCTAATGAGTAATATTGTTTCAAATCAAGAAACAGGATTGTGTTGCCTGATAATATTAATAACATAACATCCTCTTAGAAATACACATTTGATAGTAGCTTGAGTTAGAATGCAGATGTAGATTTATGTTCAGTTATATCTGAAACCAGTTATATCGGTAAAAATGTGAGGTGTTTTTTTAACCATTGGTCTTCCATAGTAGCATACATTTAGATCATGATAATCACAGTTAAAACCACAAATATAGCACCTCCATACCATGGTAAAAATGTAATATGGCTTCTAGGTATCTGTATGAAAAATAGTATTTAGTATAAATGCATAAACGCCATTAATCACAAAACAATACTGTAATTATATTCCATTACTCCTCCTTCAATACATTTAATACATGTCTACATTAATAATATAATAAAATTCGACACAATACTGTGGTGCAGTTAGTGGTTCTACAGTAAATCTATGGTAAATGATGGCGATTTGTAGATTAAAAAGCCTTCTAACTGTATCGTTGCGCAGTGTTTCTCCTGTTTGTCAGCGCTGTATCATCTGGCTGTAAACAGAGTTATTTGTGTTCTTCGCTGAATTCAAGCACTTCACACAGGATCTCACAGCACTGTTTAGTGTCGCATGATCGAAATTTGTCATCTGCTCTAGTGAAGCACACTGTTTCTATACGATCTACTCGTTTAAAAAAACAACAACTTGCTACATGTACTGCGTTAAGACTAACCGGGACTTGTCACAGCAATTACATATTACAAAATACTGGACACACAAGTGAATTACTGAAACTTTAATTTGAATTAAAAGGAAAATGGAAAATCTAAAAGTATCTAAACTATTAGGTTATTAAAAACTTTAATAGCATCTGAATGATACTAAAATAACACTGGTGTGTGTGTATACATACACTCACTAAGATAATAGCATTGGCATCGGCCATGAAAAACCTATAGCAGTCAACCACCAATACATCCACTAATACATGTAACATCCTTACCACTAAACAGCATTCGTATCAAGGAGTTCCCATCCCCTCCTAGAATAGAACTTGCTAGAAGCCAGGTAAAGCCCAACAGAAGAACCAAAGCAACAGCACGGAGTGCCACTGGGGAATACAGAGGAAGGAAATAATGTTTGAATGCCATTTTCAGGAATTCAGGAAACTTCACCAGTACATGAGAAGCATGGAAATGCACAGACCTGCAAACCTCATGGTAAACAGATGTCAAAATCTGGTCAGCAAGTGTGATAAGATTCTGTTTGGAGTAAGTGAGAACATTAAGTTTATAAAACAGCAACAGAGCACAAGTTTCCAAGTTAAACCCGAGAGGGAAACTATTAAAAACTAGATTGAGCAGCTGGTCATTCAGGAAATGCAGCTCAAACCAAGTTCATACATACTTTTGAGCAATTTGATGCCCATTTCTGCCAAATATTTTACTTATATGACATCAGACCTGTTAATCAATTGGAAAGCAAACCTCCCTGGAATTGATACCTAGACACCAGATTCATACTGTAGGCTGCTCAAACAACTATTTAAAAATCGGATGGCAATCATGGAATCCAAACACACGTTACACACATGTATTTCAAATTAAAAATACCGTCGAACCTGAAATCTGCAGCCAGTGACCCTGTGCAGCAGGTTTGTGAAACAGATTCTCCCTTGTGCTTTGACTCTGTCACGACTAATTTACTCGCGTTCAACGCAGCACGTTCATCTTAAAAACAGTGTCGACTGAATTAGTCGGCAACAAATACAACGAACATTTAACGAGCACACAACTCTGTAATAACGAAATATCCTTGTTCGGTGTCCTCCAGAAGCGTTCATCTGTTGCCAATACACAAATCCCGATGACGCTCTTCCGGTTTGGGTTGCAAATTATGAACATGTGTTTCTTGTGCGCACCCACCCAATATGCAAACATTATCTCTTATGCTCCAAATGTTTATTTAGCTTAAATGCAAATTACGCATGATCCATGCAAAATAGTGTTATTTATATAAACAGAAAGTAGGGGTGTAGTACCAGACATTCTTTAATAATGTAGCTTTGAGACATTATATCAGAACAACGTATTTAAACGTACAATAACAAATCTGTATGAGTGTAAATTTGTCAGTGGCAAAGTAATTAATATAATCTTTAAAGTAATTTAAAAGGCTTATTTGAAAGAACGTAGCCCGGAACCTTTCTCCAGCGGTCGGTGTTTAGTCCGGAATATAACGCACAAGCATACAACTATCATGATGGCCACTCTTACTAAAGCTTTAAAACCAATCTTGGGAATGCAGTTTGGAAATACAGCAAAGGCAAGGCATTTTATTTACACAATATGACCAGAGAAAATGTGTAAATGCAACTAATAATACGAGGTTGTTAATCAGCGCTGCAAATTAGCGTGACATTTCAGTAAGACAAGGTCAGAGCTGGCTAAACAGCATAGTGTTAGTCCGCATTATACTTGCATTTGAGCTCAAACAATTCACTTACGTATTTGTTCATTTATATTTCAAATTATAGTGCGACGTTTAATCAATGCAAATACGACTGACTGACAAGATGTTTCAGGATGCTTTCAGCGATTGGCAGTGTTTAAAACGTAGTGAGCAGCTAACGTAGACAACATTTTTGGCATTGTAGTCATCAGATGTTGCTGTCTAAGTAGGCAGCGCACTAGGTTTTGAAACACAGCCGTGCTCTAACATGTAATGCTTCATGGGTCTCTTTTTGTAGGTCTTTGGCGCAGCAGTCAACAGTCAAAGAGGAAAACCTACATATGCAGTAGGTTTGCTGTCTTTACCTGGCAGCTGATACTATCTATCTATCTATCTATCTTATTGCACTATTTTTTAGAAGAAAACGTGAGCTTAAGGAATGAATTGTGGTTCCTAATTCTCTTATCACTAACTGTAATTTTTTTTGTTTCTTCACATCTGACCCTCGTCTGTCTTGAAGGGACGAATCATAGTAAGTATGGAGTAACATAAAAGTAAACATAAAAGCATGTTGTCATTTACCTCAGTTATTTCCACGATTATCATGCACATGTAATACGCCCACTGAATGTTTACTCATTATGTTTATTTGCAGCCTCCTCCTGCCAAGTATGGAGGCCGGCATACTGTAACATTGATTCCTGGAGATGGGATTGGACCAGAACTGCTTAACCATGTGCGAGAGCTCTTCAGGTTTGTCAAATCAATAATTTACACAAATATAAATCGTGGCTGATAATAATGTATTGCCACATTAAGATTTTCCTGTTGAATCATAGGTTCAGCTGTGTTCCTGTGGACTTTGAGGTGGTGCATGTAAATTCTGCATCAACCAGTGAGGACGACATCAATAATGCCATTATGGCCATTCGCCGCAATGGAGTTGCTCTTAAGGGTCTGTACATCCAGATAGTAATTGACAAGCTATTTTTGTTAGATAGATAACAAAACTAGTTTTCATTTTCATCTCTTTTTTTTTTCCAGGTAACGTTGAGACTAACCACACAATGCCCCCTAACCACAAGTCACGGAACAATCTTCTACGGTAAGCCTGAAAGACAAATGATTACAGTCATGGCCAAAAGTTTTGGCAGTGACATAAATTTTGTGTTTTGCAAAGTTTGCTGCTTCAGTATTTGTAGATTATTTTTCCACATGTTTCTATGGTATACTGAAAAACAATGATAAGCATATCAGAAGTTTTACAGGCTTTTATTGGCAAAAGTTATTTACAGTGTTGACCCTTGTTCTTCATAACCTCTGCTCTGGCATGCTGGATATTAGCTTCTGGGCCAAATCCTGACTGATGGCGATCCATTCTTGCCTTATTAGTTCTCGGAGTTTATCACAATTTGTGGGCTTCTGCTTGTCCACTCACCTTGAGGACTGACCACAGGTTCTCTATAGGATTGAGATTCGGGGAGTTGCCTGGCCACAGATCCAAAATTTCAATGTAATGATCTTCGAGCCACTTCTTTATAACTCTTGCTTTGTGACATGGTGCTCCATCATGCTTTCTTTGTAGCAATTTCCTTGCATGTAAGGCCATTTTGACGCAAAGCGATGATGGCTGCACGTGTTTTTTGAAGGTAACCATTGCTAACAAGAACACAATGATTGGAAGCGCTTCTTCCCTATAATCGTTCGCGATAATGACAGCTGTTTGCATAGCTTCTCACACAGGACTCATGGTAGCGTTCACCTTTTCTTCTCCGAACAATCGATTTTCCAGATGTCCCAAACAATCAGAAGGATTTTACCTGACTAGTACTCATTCACACTTTCACATGTGCAGCTGATATGATTAGTCAATTAATGTTAGCTGGTCATTTTGTGTCAGGATCTACAAACGGAATTTTTATTATTTTTTGTTTAAAATTGTTTTTTTGGCCAATTAAGCTTTTAGCAATTATTTAAAATGCATCTGATCACTCTACACAATAATCTAGAAACAATGTGAACGAACACCACAACAGCTTAAGCAGCAAACTTTGCAAAACACAAAATTTATGTCACTGTCAAAACTTTTGGCCATGACTGTACACAATGAATCTGTTTATACCAGCTCCATCAGATGTTTATGCTGCTGTATATGAAAGTTGTACAAAGTTGTTGGGCTCCTCAGTTTGAGTTTGATGAGTGATGCCAGAGAGCTTCAGATTTGGCCTCCTGCCCTTGACAGTGTGTCTAGACCAATTCACCTCCGTTCACTCTCAGCACAGCTGTCACACTCTCTCTCTCTCTCTCAGCACGAGTCTGGATCTGTATGCCAATATGATGCACTGCCAGTCACTTCCTGGAGTTCAGACACGCCACAAAAACATCGACATCATCATCATTAGAGAAAATACAGAGGGCGAGTACAGCAGTCTGGAGCATGAGGTCAGTATTTTTCTGCACCTACTCGACAGACTTTCACACAGCTTTGCCTATTTCTCGCACATTTTCCCTAATATACAGGGTGTTGACATGCATGTGTGAATTTGTCAATGAAGATAATAAAATGTATTATTCTATTAGACATACAAAAAATACACTATTGTTTAAAGGTTTGGGGTCAGGTTCTTTTGATGGTGTAACTGAATTTTCAGCAGCCATTACTCCAGTTTTCAGTGTAAATGATCTTTCAGAAATGATTTTTATATGCTGATTTGCTGCTCAAGAAACTTTTCTTATTATTATCGATATGCTGAAACAAAAAACGGCTGCCTAAATTTTTATGGAAACTGTGATAATTTTTGGAATTCTTTGAATAGAAAGTTCAAAAGAACAGGTTAAATTTAAAATAGAAATATTTTGTAATATAAATTAATGTCTTTACTGTCACTTTTGATCAATTGAATGCATCCTTGCTGAATAAGGGAAAAAAACCTTGACTGACCCCAAGCTGTTAAATCGTGTATAATAAAACATGTTAATCTTTTTGAATATTTGTTTATCATGGAAGAATAATAAAATATATAAAATATTTTTTGTCATTAAGGGCAATTGGCTGGGCAATTTTTCCGATTAATTTTAATTTAATGTTTTGCCATGATTTTATTTTTTTAGAAATCGAGGAATCGCGATTTTAAATAGAAATATTACCAAACGTCAGAATTAGACACTTTGACAATATGCCAATGATAACAGTAAAGAGAAAAGAACGATCCAACCGCATGTCGGCGCACGTGATTAACCACTCACGTGTGACACGCTCATAACGCGAGGCACCATTCACAGAATGTAGTGATGGGAAACCGAGGCTTTCTGAAGCGTTTGAGGCTTTCATGAAATTGTGCCGAAAAACGGTTCTTTGCTCGAAGGTTTTAACACAGTGTGCATCTGGTGGTCGGACTTGTTTTCTCCACCACTTCTGACAAATCATTGCGGAGCAGAGGATGGTTTGAAAAAGCATGTGACCTTAAAGGGGTCATATGATGCTGCTAAAAAGAACATTATTTTGTGTATTTGGTGTAATGAAATGTTTATGCGGTTTAAAGTAAAAAAAATCATATGACCCCTTTAAAGCTTCGGAAGTCTGTGACATTCAAGAGTGGAATCAATCTGGGATCAATACAATATCTAATCTGATATAATCTCATTTAAATTAATTTGTGCAAATGAGACCACAACTCGTGTCACGTATAGCTTGGTCAATGGATTCACATATCGATCAATAATATAAAATACACAAACATGTGATCATAATTAATAATTGACGTGTGTAGCTGGAAAAAAAAATATTTTGGGTGAGCTGTTATACCCTTATGTTGTGTTCGGGGTCTCTGAGACCCCAGTTATAAACATGATTAAATGTCCTACTGACAGCCCTCAAAGTGACTGAATAATCCTTTTATGCATCAGGTGAGATCGTGAAGCGCCAGTTTTTTTCAAATCAGCTGTCCCGACCTTTCGATACTGCATGGCGTTCGAAGATTCAACTGGGGGGGGAAGTCGTGGCCTAATGGTTAGAGAGTCGGACTCGTAACCCAAAGGTTTTGGGTTTGAGTCTCGTACCGGCAGGCAATGTAGGTGGGGAGAGTGAATGTACAGCGCCAAAAATGGCTGCCCACTGCTCCGGGTGTATGTGTTCACGGTGTGTGTGTGTTCACTGCTGACACAATGTGCTTTTGTGTTGATAAAGATGCGACGTGGACAGTGGAATAGGAAAAACATGCAAGAAGATGGGAGTGAACTTCTTTTTAACTGTATTTAGACTGCCGTTTCATGCATGAGACGCGAGCGCAAGTCAAATGCATCCATGTTTACATAGAAAAAGACAATGGAAAAGCAGCGCAAGCGAATAAAAAAACTACTGTATGTCTGATATTTCATGTTTGCATCATTGTGACAGGCTAAAAGCTGCTGTTGTTTTTACAGACCATTTATAGTTAATAATAGTCTACTTGTGTTATGCCTTTAAGTCATTTTGGATTTGAATTACCTTGACTTTTGAACATATAATATGCATAGGACACGTTGTACAATATGTAGTTCATTCATCTTTTCTGCAAAGATATTTGTGATTTGTTTAACATTTATATCATGTTGACAACTTCATGGGTGGTGGTGTGGTGCACTTGGAATAGAAGTTTCTTTAACTAGAGGGTTAATAAAGAAAAAGTTACTTGAATCAAGTTGTAGTTACATTTTCAAGTTGACTAGTTAAAAATTGTAAAAAATCGAGAATCGGTCAAATGCTTTTTGCCAAATCGCCCAGCCCTATATATATTTTATATAATTAATATATATACTGTAGATTGTTCTAAATTACATCAATTTCATTAGTTGTTCATATATCTCTATGTATGATACTTTCTATGTCCTCCATTCATGTGAAAAATCCAATCCAGTGTATATCCTTTTTTTTTGGTCTATACCTTAGAATAAATAATAATTTCCTGTGTTTCAGAGTGTATCGGGAGTTGTGGAGTCTCTAAAAATCATCACACGGAACAACTCCCTCCGCATTGCTGACTATGCCTTCAGACTGGCCCGAGATAAAGGTCGCCGCAGGGTCACGGCTGTCCACAAGGCTAACATCATGTTAGTTAGTCTACCGCTTGTCATCTGTACTATTAAATCACAGTTGTATCACAGCAGAGAATGTCACTGGTCTCATAATGTGTTTTCACTCTCTTCTCCTAACAGGAAACTGGGGGATGGGCTGTTCTTGCAGTGCTGCAAGGAGGTGGCCTCTGGATACCCAGACATTGAGTTTGATAGTATGATTGTAGACAACACCACCATGCAGGTGAATTACTCATGCACAAATAATCAAACAGTTTTGATGTGTTATGAGAAAGCACAAAAAGCTCATTACTGTATTTACTGTTGTTATGTCCTTTCTTTCAGCTTGTTTCCAAGCCCCACCAGTTTGATGTCATGGTGATGCCTAACCTCTATGGGAATGTGGTCAGCAATGTGTGTGCGGGGCTGGTGGGTGGACCCGGTCTGGTGCCTGGTGCCAACTACGGGCGAGACTACGCTGTGTTTGAAACGGTTGGTCTGAAGGAAAAGACGGAGGCAATTAGCACAATCCTCACTTGCTGAAGTTAGAAAACATCCCCTCATAATAATTCTTATAGTCTTATTAGCTAGTGTACTACACAACTGTTAAAAAAAATTGGGGTCAGTAAAAAAATGTTTTTTTCATTAATTGTATTTAGCATTAAATTGATCAGTAGTGACAGTTAAGCCATTTATGATGTTATAAAAGAATGCTGTTCTTTGGTCTTTCTGTTCATTAAAAAAACTGGATCATTGTTCCCATAAAAAAATATTAAGCAGCACAACTGTTTTCATATATACTTTGATAACAATATGAAATATATCTTAAACCACCAAATCATAACATTAGAATGATTTCTGAAGGATTGTGTGACACTGGAGAAATTCAGCTTTGCCATCGCAGGAATTAAATGTTTTACAAAATGATTTTATTTTAAGTTCAAATAGTTCACAATATATCTGCTCTTATTATGTTTTGATCAAATAAATGCAACCTTGGTGAACAAAAGAGACTTTTTTCAAAAGAACATAAAAAAATAAAAAATAAAAAACTTATCAGCCCCAAACCTTTAAACAGCAGTGCACATTTCAGTAGTTTAACTACTTGGTGAACATTACTTCATCTGGGCTGATTAATATTCACAATCCAAAGTTTATGATGTGCTTGTGTTATAAGATACATTTTTGTGTCACTGAAATTGAAATGTAAATTTCAAATGACATTTGAGTGATATTAAATTTGTTATAACAGGCCACCAGGAATACAGGAAAGAGTATTGCCAACAGGAACATTGCCAACCCCACTGCCATGCTGCTTGCCAGCTGCCTCATGTTAGATCATCTCAAGTAAGTGGTAAAGGAGAAGCTTGTGTGTCAACTCTTATGATGCTAATTTTGCCTTTCTGGTTGTTTGTCAGCTCTTACATCTCTAACTTAATGAACAGCCAGAATTTCCCTGTTGTACAAACCACTTTCTATAGTATTACTGTAGTACATTGCTTAGGATATGATTTTTTTTAGTAGTGGCTTCTTCTCTTCCTCTTCAGACTTCATGACTATGCCAACATGATCCGCGGTGCGATTCTCACCACCATGAACGAGACCAGGGTCAGTCACACTTAACCTACCTGTCCACATTTTAGGGTTGGTCTAGCACTTTTTGTAAAGCAGGTTTTAGATCATAGCTGGCTTTAACAAATAAGAATTTTGTCGGTTGTGAATACCTGTTCATCAAGGTTACCAGTTAGACTCTTGATGTCAGATTTTTGATTAATTGTTTTTAATTGAACAAACTTTTTACTTTTTGTTCCTTTAAGAATATTACTCATATTCCGTGTTAGGTTCTTAGTTCCAGAGTAGTACTTTTACAGTTTTAACAATCCGAATCAAATAATTTTCAGAAGAGTCCACATGCTTGTTGCTCAGTTGATGTTCTGTCATGTCTAAGCATGTTGTAATGTTTTCTGTTGCAGTTGCACACCGTTGACATTGGGGGTCAGGGCACTACCTCAGAAGTGGTTCAGTCTATCATGAGGATCATCCAGAGCGGCGGTCCCCTCACCACTGAGATCTAAACCGAGTCAGCACCACTCCACCACTGTTACTGAGCACATTATCTTTTTTGCCATTGCCAGGAGCCACAAGCCTGAGTTATTGATAATTCCATTTCCTGTTTGGTAGCTGTTAATGTTTTAACGTTCTTTGTTCTGTCTGTGATGTTTTGATGTAGTTCTGACATTCACCATTATCTTTTCCTCTCTCCATTTTACTTTCAGACATCAGCTTCTTAAGGACATCTGCACTTAATTTTATGTCTCAATAACGTTGCTTTCACTGGAGACGAGATTTATTCTTGAATCCAGCAGCTTTTATGGGGATCAGCAGGGGTGAAGATGGTGTTACATGAAATACAACATACTTCAGCACTGTGATTGTGGTGTTTCTTGGGCTTAGTGGTCTTTCCACGGGAACTGCAGAGTTTTTAGATTTATCATATTGTATCTGAAAGGTTATATTGTTTTAATGCTATGCTAATACAGTATTTATGATGAGGGTCTTGCATTGGATTTGTGTTGCTGCTGCTCAGTTGCATTCCACATTTTATCCATTCTTACCGTGTTATCCTCAAACACAACATATTCATTTTGGTTTTATACCTTTTTAGTTTACTTTAATGACCCTATACAAACCTCCCAACTGTCCATTTACATAATTATATTATACTTGTATAAACTACAGCATTTTACTTTTTTTAACTGCCTTAAACTGTTGGGTGTTTAAATGGACTTCATATTCTGGATGTCCATGAGATGGTATTTTTCTTTGGACTTTATGCTGGGGTATTATTTATGATTAATACTTAATACTTAATGGTGGTCTAATGTTGCATCATTTAGTTTGGACCTTTATGTTCCTGTTCAGTATGTGATAAGTCTGCATCTGGCATACTGTCAGCTTTTGAATTAAACATCTACATTTTCCACCATGAAATGCAGTTTTTAGATTAGTATATTTAGAATACTGTAAAGCAGTGGTTCTCAACCTTTTGGCTCAAAGGCTCCCATTGTCCACAACAGTATTCAGTTTTATTAAATTTTTAATTTTCTGAAAAAAATATCAAAGCTTGGCATAAATAGAAAACTGTATAAACAATATATGAATATAATTGTTTGATTTTAACAATGTACGTGACTTTTCCAGGTCTAGAACTTCACTGGTTGAAAGTCACCACTGTAAAGAGTTAAAATTTGGACTGTTGCACAAATCCATAATGGCTCACTGGTAATCCACAGACATAATAAAATGGTTTTCCTCTTTAAAATGTCTTGTTTATTGTTTTGTCAGCTTGAGCTGGTATGATCACCAGCAAATTAAAAGTGGAACAATGGATGTGCCTTAAAGGGTTAGTTCACTCAAAAATGAAAATTCACAAAATAAGTCACAGCAGATACATTTCCATTCTGGTAGAAATAAGAGATGGGCACTAAAATGTTCTTTGATTTGATCAAATTATAAAATAATCTTAAAGGGATAGTTCACTCAAAAATGAAAATTCTGTCATTAATTTCTCACCCTCGTGTCGTTCCAAACCCATAAGACTCGTTCATCTTCGGAACACAAATTAAGACATTTTTGATGAAATCCGAGAGCTTTCTGACCCTGCATAGACAGCAATGCAACTACATTCAAGGTCAAGAAAGGTAGTAAGGACATCGTTAAAATAGTCCATGTGACATCAGTGGTTTAACTGTAATGTTATGAAGGTACAAAAAAAAACTGCACATAGAAAACTAAAACAATTACTTGATTCAACAATTTCTTCTCTTCCGTGTAAGTCTTCGATGTGCGTTCACGACAGTACCACAACGCATGGCGTTCTGACAGAACCCGGATGCGCTGTGCTTTGTTTACAAGCAGAGGAAGATGCAACAGTTTTCGTAAAAATGTCTGAAGATTTGACAGAATGCAATTTTTTTGCCCAGCCTTACTTGTTCAAACCAGAATATACAGATGATGAAGGTATTCTCATAGCTTAATAAAATTAAGGTTGAACCACTGATGTCACATGGACTATTTTAACAATGTCTTTACTACCTTTCTGGGTTTTGAATGTGTCAGTTGCATTGCTGTCTATGCAGGGTCAGAAAGCTCTTGGGTTTCATCAAAAATATCTTAATTTGTGTTCTGAAGATGAACGAAGGTCTTTCAGGTTTGGAACAACATGAGGGTGAGTAATTAATGAAAGAATTTTCTTTATTGGGCAAACTAACCCTTTAATAATCCCCCATAATGCACATTTGTTTAGTTTCCCACATCTTAGATGCCTAATTTAAATCTTGGAGTCCTCTATCACTGAGCTAGAGTTGAATCTATGTGTTTGATAAGGGATGTATTCAAAATGTGTAGTGTTGGGATTTTCGGGAGCAGGAGATTTGGCAGTACACTTAATACAGTCCAAGCAAACAGGGTCCAAGTGAACACTGGTGACAAGAAAACATCAACACTCCAGTTGAAGGATTATCCCTTTTTGGGGGCCATTGCCGAATGTTTTGTATAATTCTGAACCAAGAAAAAACTTTGGAGAATACCGTTTACCTGCAGACATTGTTACTTGCAGGCCAACTACTGCCTAAAGGATTGATGTATCAAGTGTGATTCTGGGCACCAGAGGGCAACAAATCACATATAAATGTGTCTTTGTGCCTAACCAATGAAGTCTGTTCAAATTGATTCTCAGCCATAAAACCACATGCAGTTTGTTTTAAATAATATGACAAGTTGACAATTTCACTGACATCAATTTCTTTTTTGATTGTTTACAGCTGGACCTCTGTGTGGAAAAAATAGCACGCTGTTCTGAGTGGAAACCCCAAGGGACAGACTCAAATCTTATATAAAAAAATAATATTAGGACTTCTAAATGGAAATATAATTTCCAATAACATGAGTCAGAAGAAATAGCAATTTCCCACTGCCGTTCTTTGTAATCGCTAACAAAATACAGCAGCTGGGGAAAATATGTGGAATGTTATTTGTAGTAGATTATGCAAGTCTATGAACTAACAGACATGCCAAGGACTCTATAATGTTGTGATTAAATATCTTTTAGCTTTGTGCATCAAATGTTTCCAATGAGAGTCAATGGGAGTGAGAAGTCTTGTAAAAAGCTGTCAGTATCAGAACACAGAGACTGATAAATGTGATGCAGAAAAGTCTTGGATGTACTGAACTGCATGTGCTGAATTCAACCTTACAGTCAATGTTGTTGAGTTATTTCATGTCCATGAATTTATTTATTTGTTGGGGAGTCTTGTAATAAGCAGGAAGTCAGTTGGTCGATATATAGCAAAATAAATTACATTTGACCCATTCCTGCATTGTCTTACTTGAACAGTGTGTTTGAATTTCCATTCTAATATGTGGACGTTTTTTAATCGTGGTCATGACCTCACTGCTTGAGAAATGTTTTTTTGGATAACACACAGACGGCCACGTATTTTGCTTCAGAATGTCCTGATACAACTTGGAATTCATTGATCTCTTCATGACTGTAAGCCGTCCAGGTCTTGAGGCGGTGAATCATATTGGATATTGCTGTGTACTTGTCAGATTCACAAGTACACAGATGGAGATTCATGAACAAAGATGTTATGAGCAAGAAATGTCTGCTGATCTATATCTTCCCCTCTAGGGTTCAGTTTCATAAAATCTTTGTTCTGTTCTTCCACGGATAATTGCAGGATGCCAACTGCATCTGAAGAGAGGATGTTTCAGTAAATCTTCTTCTGTGATCCTTCAGAATTATACAAAATTTTACATATGGCAGGGCTGATCAATCAACCACCTATTCCGTGACTGTTTAAATGTGCATTGTTATTGGAAATCTTATGAAAATATGTCGCATATCAGTTCCAATCCAGATAATTTTAAAGGGTTCATGAACTTTTTCCACATGTTTTTTTTACTCAAAGGTTATATTCCGGTCAAGCTAGTATAACTCAAAATATTGGCAGTCAGTGAATGTCATGGGAGCTACATGGAAATATGTTAGAGGTCTGAGGTTCAGTACTTTCAAACAACTTCTGTTCAGGGTGCCTCTTGTTTCCAAAATGCATCCCCAATGTGATTAGGAAATAGGAGTTACTTATTAGACACTTATTCTATTATGACATCCTGAATTACAGTACCTTTATTTTCTGCGACCTTTGAGCATCCTCTCAACTCTATTAATTTACCATGCTTTTCCATTTAATATAACAAAATGAAAACGATCACTTATTTCTATGGCACCATCACTTCACCACATTTTTGCTTCCCAACACATTTCCAGCAGCCTTTCTTCAGTCATTTCCTCAGTGGATTTCAGGCCCTTGAGTTCAGGATTATGGTTTTCATTGCCCTCATTTGAGCTTCTCACACATTATCATGATTGATGGATGATGTATTTTACACTGCCTTTTATTGGTGTTCAGCCAGTTTGAACTGAGCTAGTAAGGAGTGACTCAATCCAGCCTTGATAATGGATAGAAAATTCATATTTAATTTTAAGTATGGGTGTCAAACTTTCACTCAATTAATAATCAGAGTAAAACATTTATTTAAGTATTTAAGCAATTATGAAATAAAGGGGGCTTAATGGAATAGTTCACCCAAAAATGAAATTGTGCTAAAAATATATTTATCCTAAGGCTATCTAAGGTGTACATGAGTTTGTTTCTATACCCAAACAGATTCAGAGAAATGTAGCATTGCATCACTCTATCGTTTATCGTCTTATGAAGTGAAAAGCTGTGTTTGTAAGAAACAAATCCATCATTAAGACGTTTTCAAACTTTCACCTCTGGCCAAAATACCAGCCCATCATCCATAATAACGCTTCCTCCATTGATAAAGTCCATGCCCTGTTGTCCTCTCACATCAAAATAAAAAATATATATTTAGAGCTTTTTTGAGATACTGGAGAAAGCAATTATGGAACTCTCATTCTGACGGCACCCATTTACTGCATAGGATTCATTGGTGAGCAAGTGATGTAATGCTAAACTTCTCTAAATATGTTTTGATGAAGAAACAAACTGTTGGATGGCCTAGGGGTAAGTACATTTTCATTTTTCGGTCAACTATACCTTCAACGTTAGCACATTTTACTCTACTATTTAATAATCAGTTGTCAAGATAATGTTAATTTTTTCAAACCTTTTTTAGAGTTTATGTATTTCAGATCAAAAACAGCACAAAAGACGCAGTACAGTACATTGAAAAATAGGAAACGCTCTTTAAATTTACAACAGAAGCCTCTGCTCTTGCTTGAACTGTATAGTCTGAGAATAACTCATTCTCCTTTCCTTCTTTGAGGGGTAATTTGTAATGCCAACTTCACACTGCACGATTTTCAAACTCGCCGGATCGCCGTTGTTTTCACACTGCGTGACTATCTGGGGTAGCA